TTCTAAATCTTATATCTGTTTTATAAAACCAAGGAAAGGAATTCTGAATGTTTAAAGATGTAAAAACAGAATACATTTTATAAAACTGATTTAAATCGACCTGATTTAAATCAACCCAACCCTGATTTCAATTATGAAAAAAAAGTCAATTGAATACGGTATTATTTTACAGTGACAAGGGGGGAAGCAGACTTTTAAGTATGATTATATTAGTCTACTAAACCTTATCTGTTTAATAAAACCAAGGAAAGAAATTCTGAATGTTCAAATATGTAGAAACTGAATACATTAAAAAAAAGTGATTTAAATCACTGATTTTTATTTTAAAAATCAAGTTGATTAAAATATTTAAAAAATCAACTGATTTAAATCAACCCAGCTCTGATTTCAATTATGGAAAAAAAAGTAAATTGAATACTGTATTACTTTACAATGAAAGGAGGGAAAGCAGACTTTTAAGCATGAATATATTAGTCTACTAAACCTTATATCTGTTTTATGAAACCAAGGAAAGGAATTCTGAATGTTGAAATATGTAAAAACTGAAAAAAAATAAAAAAAATTTAAAAGTGATTAAAATCACTGATTTTCATTTAAAAAATCAAGTTGATTTAAATTTTAAAAAAATCAACTGATTTAAATCAACCTGATTTAAATCAACCCAACCCTGATCTGCTGCACGAGAGGAACAGCAAGGGGACGCAGGATTTCCTCCCTGTACCTTGCCGCGGTCAAATTGCCCTGCATATGGTACAGGGGGTCCTGTGGTGAGCTGAGAAGCCTCCCTCCACCAGAACGGACCCTCCACCGTAGGGCGCCACCTGCTGGATGCACTCAGGGTGGAACAGCTCTCCTCGGCACCCCCAGACGTGGGCTCGCCTGTCTGGGTGCAGCAGGTTGAATCCGGATTCGTCCGAGAAGACTACCTGGTCCCACTGACATTGTGTCCACTGTGAATGGAGAGCAGGCCACGGCCGGTGAGCTGCCTTGTGGGGTAGCGTGTGCCTTGGGCGCCTGGCAGGGACATGAGAAGCTAACCTGGCTCTACGGATACGGTTCCTTACCGTCTCCTCGCTCACGTGGACATTGGCTGTCACCCGTAGTTGGTCCCTGATGCCGTTTGAAGTGGTGGTTCGTGACGTCACGGCCTGTATGACGATGAACCAGTCGATGCTGTTGTTGGTCAAACGGAGCGGTCCTGGTCGAGGCTTGTCCTGGATCCTTCCGGTCGCTCGCCATTGTTCTTGCAGCCTCTATATGACTGATGGAGACACCCCAAGTCGATGTGCAACAACTGGGAACGTGGAGCCATCTTGGAGCCAGGAAAGGACTCGT